TGGATTTTGATCAAAACATGTCAAAATCGTTATTTATGCACCAAGAGCGTTGGGAAAAAGACTAAGCGCATTATCTCAATGCCCAAGACATGAATTTGATGAATTTTTGGCGAAAACGTGGATTTTGATCAAAACATGTCAAAATCGTTATTTATGCACAAAGATCGTTGGGAAAAAGATCAAGAGCATTATCTCAATGATCTAAACATGAATTTGATCTATTTTTATGGACCACATGGATTTTGATCAAAACATGTCAAAATCGTTATTTATGCACCAAGATCGTTTGGAAAAAAACCAAGAGCATTATCTCAAAGCCCAAGACATGAATTTGATGCATTTTTGTTAACTATAAAATGTATTTTGTAAGATTAAAATAAATTGTCGTTAAAAGTGATTGTAATACTGAGGATCCTTCGATATTTCGTTGTATCGGTTTATTTATTGTTAGTTTACGTCATTTTTTTCTTGTTAAAATTACCAATTTCGTATGCATTTAATGTGATATGTATTGTTCTTCAGTTTTAGACACTGCAGGTCAGGAGGAATTCAGCGCTATGCGAGAACAGTACATGAGATCGGGTGAAGGCTTTCTATTAGTATTTTCGGTAACGGAACGTTCGAGCTTCGACGAGATCTTTAAATTTCACAAACAAATCTTAAGGGTAAAAGATCGAGATGAGTTTCCAATGCTTATGGTCGGAAATAAGGTGAGTTATCTACATTTAAATATGTTACTTTACTCAGTAGGTAATTTTAGGTCGATCTGGAACACCAACGAGTGGTCTGGCAGGAGGAAGCGCAAGCGTTGGCCCGACAACTAAAAATTCCTTATATGGAATGTAGCGCGAAGATGAGAATGAACGTTGACAATGCGTTTTACGAATTAGTACGCGTAGTTCGTAAGTTTCAACTATCGGAACGACCACCTCTTAAACCGAATTACAGTAAAAAAAATAAGAAAAAGTGCTGTGTGCTTTAATTGTTTAGGTTTCGCTACTACTCTCATAATAATTGCATATCCGTATTTTTCTAACGAACAATCTAGCTTTAATTCTCTTACATAGGCGTTTTCTTTCGGCCTGTGCAACTACACTACAATGATTAAATCACGAATGGAGCTGATTCAAGCCAAAGAAATCGCTCAAAGTTCATGATGCAGATAAAGGCAGTAAGGACACTGTCCGTCAAATTTTTGTGGTAACAGAGAGAATTAAATTATTGTGTATATAGAAGCGGATACTCATTATAAAAATGGTGGTGTAGGTGTAGGTTAAGTGTTTTATCAACGAGTTGCTCTGTCCATACTGCCTTTAACTGTAGGTACTGGGTTTCGGTGCTTGATACAATTGACGACGATTATAATGGATCAGTCTGTTTGGTAAATCATTCTGTAAATATTTTTACATGTCACTTACGTATCAAAACCATCAAAAAGTGGCTCAATTTGCTTTTTGATGTTTGACGGTTGGAGTTTTAATTTACTCTTGCAGTGCCATGCTGGTCTATGGGGCTGCAGGGTGCCAGTTTCGGTTCGTGTTCGTGAAGAAGACTCATGGAAAGATTAGTCCTCTATAATTTATCTTTGATAAATTCTTTTTTCAGTTTGCTTTTAATTTAATTTTTAATGTTAGTTTTTGAACGTCACGCATTTATAATCAAAATATCCACAGTTCACCAATGGAACCTTTTCTAAAGGGCAACCAGCTCCAGATAAATAGCAACAGCAGTATAGAAAAAAATTATGATTGGGGTTGCATAAGACATCTTTGAAATTTAAATCTGTCAAAAACAGTTAAACATAGGCTCTCATTGTATGTAGAATTTTACATAGAATCTAAGTGTAAGAAATCTTTGAGATATGGCTAGGGCATTTGTCATGGGCCACCCTCTATAATTGCTTTAATGACATATCTGGGGAGTGTGTGATGTGACAATACATGAAAGTACTGATTTTTTTCCTATACATATAAATAAAGTAGTTTTGGGAATAAACAAATCGATACTGGATGTCCTTTTCAAGAAATTATTTCTTAAGTGGATAATACACAGGGTGTATCCCCTGACAGTATGTGAAATTGCTGTTTCCCATTGTGAGATTATTAAACCGGTTCTCCTTTAGTTCTGTACATTATACTAGGAAGATGTACCAAACAGATCGCTTACTTTAACGCTCATTTTATCATGTTGGCAAAGATTATTTTTATATTATCTGTTTTGCATTGCCAAATAACAGATTGGTGTACTAAAGCTTTAAATAATGTTAATGTTTTTTATTTTTATTGCTTAGATATAATTAAGATATATCATATAATAAGCATATGTTTTAAATGTAACGTTGTTGTGCATTCCTTTAAAAAAATTACTATTTTTTCTGCTGTTAATTATCGTGCCAAGGCAATGTTATGTTATAACACTGCTTTCTCCGCAAGAAGCTTTACATCAAAATAGCTTTAAGAGAAAGTCATCGGCCACTTGCCACAAATAGTCAAATAATTGATCTCCGATAATTTACACTTGCCCTGTCATTTTTTTTACATTAATGTTTGACAACTTTCGCAAGTGGTCTTATAGCGTAGTTAATTCCTTTAAAATAGTGCCTCTATTATAGTTTTTACTTGAGTAATTTAGAGTGAACAAACACCAAGTTTATTTTTATAAAGAAATTGTATTTCGCCTTACTTATTATCGTATCTTGTATTATTCGAACATATAAAATGTGTAAGGCTGTCTTAGAATTTAACGAACATTGTCTTAATGTGCAACACCAACTCACATTTTTATGTGTAGTGTCATTTGACGCACTGACGTCGGCGCATAGGTAGAGAACTAAACTTTGACACAGCCGATATCTTAGGATTCAACGGTTTAGTTCTCGGTATGCTAATTTTTTATAGCTGAAAAAGTATCTTTCTAGTGTTAGTATTTATTTATTTATTACAATAATTGATTTATTCAAATTTTTGGGTGAGCAGACATTGTAATTTTGTTTATTTCTAAATTTTTACAGGCCATCTTTGAATCTCTTGTGTATTGAAAAGGTGGCCCCTAGTAAAATAGCAAAGTGGTACACTGCCAAGATAGATTTATGTCAACTGCCCGTTACTTAGGTAGTTAGATATACTAATTGTCAATTAAAATTTAATTCTAAGGTCTTTATAGTAAATGCTTGAAATACTAACATAGAAAGTAAGAGTATTGAACTTGTTTCTTGCATCGGTCTACTATTCAGGCAGCTGTTTAAATTGTCCTCCTTTACTAATGTTGACAATATTAATCAATTAATTTATTGTTTGTAAGTGTATATAAAAGTAGTATATGTGCCATAATTTTAAGCATGGTCATTGTTATTTCAGGTTGCGGTGTGTGGAATACCTGTGATATGGAATGTTGTTGATCATATGACAGATATAAGCATTTATATTCACACACAGTCTACCTAATAGTTACATTATTACCATCCTTTCATAAGGTTGAGTGCTACAGTGTATGTGTGAATACTAACTAATGATTACAGTATATCGTCTACTTTAATTTATTGACACAAATCTACCAACAGTGAAGCTAATAAAAAGTACAAATGGCTTTATGTCTGTGAATGTTAAGCAATAGTTGTAACAGTCTTGTATTGCGCAAACTAATTTTAGTTTTTGTTTATATATACTTGTAAAGCATCACAATTATATAGATATGAATGATGCATTACGTTTGTTAACACTGTCTGTCTTTCTACAAAGTGAATTGGTCAACATATGGTCTTGGTGTTTTTCTTTGTTCATCTTGTCCGCATAGAAGATTTTGGAAAACTCAGGATTTTCCATTGCTTTTCAAAACAATGCAACATTTTCCAGGACATTTTAAACAGTTCAGAGCTCATCTACCTTCTTGAAAGTCATTAGCAAATTGCTAAAACGTTCAGGAAAGCACTTGAGCAACTATTTTGTGTAAACTAGAAAATTTGGGTCTTCTAGCGCTAATGGAAGCACTTGAAAAAACTTGTGGCGTTCGATGATTTTCCGGAGCAGTCTGAAATTTGACAACCTTCTTGGCACACTTCCTAGAGTTTTAGGTACAAGTTTTTTACCCCTCTATGTCTCGATCCTTTCCAGAGTGTAGTCATTTCAAAAAATTTCTAAGGGATTCTCAGAACTACACCTTTGCAAAGACTTTTGAGACCCTTTTGAAAGCGTCCTGTCCCGTCAAAGTGGGCTAAGAAAAATTATTAAATCTGTATAGGACTTCAACCCAGCGTTCAGTGCAATGCAGCTCAATCTTAAGTTTTTTTTACTCAGTTTTCTGTGATAAGTTTATTCAGATTACTTAATCTGGCACAGCTTCCAGATAGGCAAAGGTAACCATTAGAAAATCGACCTATGTACAATAAATACGCAAAACGTTTTATTTACATTAACTATTCGATAACATACAAAAAATTACGCAATAGCTTTTTTAACATGATATAAACCAGCAAGTGCATCTTGCAGTGCCCTCATACAAGCAATACTCGACACAAAACCGCCAGCTCTCTCTTGTTCTGTCTCTGTTCTAATGTGTACGTTATATCCCAGAGTTGACAGTTCTTCCTCCACAGGAGGATAAGGCCCATCTGTTACCATACCTTGTGGTTTATAAACGAAAAGTGGCCCCTCTTCAATCGAAACTGGCAAGAATGAAGACTGATTTTGACGTCCGAATTGAATACCAGTCGAAAATTGTGTCACTTTACTAGCCGGTTTAGTCTCGACTTCCTTAAATTCCTTGACCTGCTGTGTAAATGTCTCCACGATATTCTGCGCGTTGGCATTCGAAAACATTAGCTCATCGATTAGCGCCTCTTTTTCACGTAGTTTCTTCTTCTTTGTCTTCATTTCCTCTAATTTTATTTCGTTTCGTCGCGATAACTCGCTTTGCTTTTCGATTTCCAACAGTTCTTCCAGTTCATACTCCTCACGGCTCATCTTGTTCTTGCTTTTCATGATTTGCTCCCTGTTGCTTTTTTTATAGTCTTCAATTTTCTTGTTGGTATTAATCACGTCGATATTGTTCGTTAAGTTGTAAATTATCGTTTCGACTTCCTCCAAGTAATCGTTGTAGTCTCTTAATGAGGAGAAATCCTCCTCTTTTTTACTGAAGTCTCGCAGAACTCTTTTTCGTATGTCGACCTCCTTCTCCACTGTCGCGTCTTCGAAGAGCTGCACGCGGAAATTGTTTCGGCGTAGAGCGATACGGCAGTCGGGGCACGAACCGGAGCCTTTTAGGAAGAGCAAGTCGACACAGCTTTCGCAGAGGGCATGGCCACAAACGTTTACCATCATTTTTAGTGATGGATTTTGAAATTTCGTCGTTTTGCATCTTGGACAAATTGTGTCTTCCATTTTAAATACTTTTTTCGAAAATAATTTCAACAACTTTTAAATTTTACTACATAACCTCAAACAACTTCGAATTTCAGAAATGACAGCTTGACAGCACAGCAGAAATACATGTTGCCAAATTAAATAACATTTGAAGTATATACACGGTGATTGAATCGACGAATAGATGCGTATTCCTGGTCTGTGGATGCGTACTCTTAAAGCGGGTTTAGGCTCGTACGCAGAACGGCGCTGCTGCAGAAAGTCGCAGCCGCAGGTAGTTCGAGACCATGTTGATATACGGCCTTGTTTATGCTTGAACGCACAAATACAAAACGTAGGTTGCCGCAAATATGCTTGTCTGTAGGAGACGCAGAAGTTCGCAGAATTTAAACTTTGTACGCAGTTGTTTGTAGTCGGGCGTACAGCTCTTCTTGATCCTTTGTCACCATTACTTGAAAAACATTTAGAAACCTTCCAAATTTTCTCCTATATTTGTTAACAGGTCTTACTGCCCACCG